AACGGATGTCTAATTTGAAAATTATTCACTCTTCTACGTAAAAATTCTCCAACTTAAAAGACGCACGTAATATTTATTATAAAAGACCGGAATTACTTGAGTTTTTAATCAGCTTCTTAGTTGAAAAGAAAAACTAGAAAATGACTTAAAAAGCATGACCTTAGTAGTAGCTAAATTTATATTTTTATATTTCAAAATTTTAAGCAATGACAACATGAAAAATTAACTAATTAACAAAAAGAATATGTATTCAAAAGAGAACATGAAAATATATGTTGCAAGCAAAGAATAAGTAAACATATCATATATATCAATATTCATGTTTTAATTAATATGTTAAAAAAAATGGTTATTCCCTGAATTGTGAATCGTGAATAAAATTGATAATGTGGTACTATTTTATTGAATATGAAATTCGTATAATGCAAAATGTAAATGAGGAATCTAACAAAAAAAAATGGTCCATCAAATTGGACCATTGAAATGTCATTTTTCTAATAAAAGAAAACAATTTAAACAACATGGGGACCCCTACCATCAAATTTAACACAAGGGACACCTTCTAATTTTTGCACTTAATGCTAGTAACCATAAATTAAACATCATAGTTCAAAGCTTATTACTTTTTCAAGAGAATATTAGTGCATGCTCTATCAACACATCTACCTTTTTGTTTATTCTTAAATGCAATGGGATAATATGTATTAAGGAGAGTTGGTGTTGGGTTGAATTCTATTTTTGATTAAAAAGTATTTTAACTAAACATAAAATTTATATAGTAAAATTTATATAGTAATTTCAATAACGAATAATCTAAAATACTAAGTCAATGGAGATAATTTACTTTTTAAGTCAAATAATATATTTATACACTCTTAATTACATACATGTATATTATAGAGTATAGTAGCGACAGACGGATTTAAATATATAAAATTAGGAACTAAAATAAAAAAATTTCAAATACTTAATAATAATTTTAATAAAATAAAAAAATACACGTGTACATTCTCCTTACCTGTATAGGTTTTAGCATCAGAAAATTAATAAGTTACTAGGTATTAATAGTTCTTAAAACTACAAATATATATAATCATGAAAATGAATTTCGTCCTAATTCCTAAATTTAATTATTTTCTAACATTTATCATATATTAGATTAATGTAAGTAACATATTATAAATTCAAGAATTTTTAAAAAATTTTCTGTTTCCTAAACGAATATAATACCATCTACCAACTTGAAAACCCGAAAGTTACAATTTACTCGTTAAAAAATCTTACTATTAAGCACATACATTATTTTTAATTAACTAGTTTTTATATTAATTACATCTTATAAATTATTAGTTAATTAGTAAAAAAGTAACTTTCAAACCTTATTTACCATGCATTTGAATACAAATTTTTATATGTTAAGTAAATTTAATCTCTTATAATCATTTTGCTTGTTAAGTAAGTTAGTTTATGTTATCATTAAAATATGATTTAATTTCTTTATATGATATACTATAATTTATAACTAATTTGCATCTTAATGAAAGAATCTATTTCAAACAAAAACGAATTTATATGCAAGTTATTTTTAGCAAATTATTTATTTCTAATATAATATAGAAGGAATAAAATTGTGTTTCAATTAATTATTGTAAACCACATATATTAATAATATATTTTTGACATTTTATATTGCTAAATAAAATTTATGTAACATCTACTAAATATAAAATTAATAAAAGGTGAGCACGTAAATTTTTTATTACTAAAATATGTTATGAAAATATATAAACTAGTTTATTATTGATGTTTTCTCATGAATAAAAACATTAAGTAAAGATTATTGATAGAATGGTCAAATCTATCGGCTTTACTTATTGGTCAATTATAGTTTGACTTATCTCAAGCTAATTTTATTCTTTTTTTTATTGAAGTTTGTGCTTTGAAAAGAACTTTGGAATAACCTCAATGACTTCCAAGTTTAAATTTCACTTATTATAGCTTTTGGAAAATAATGCTATTTGTGTAATTAACCTATTTTATTATCAACATCATAATGATCACTACATCAACGACTATGAATCAAACTAGATTCAATAATCAGATCCATGAAAAAAATTATATAAAGGATTGAGATTAATATTAATCTTTAGATTAAATAAAAAAATTAGGTAGATATAAATTATCGAAGATAATTAAAAGAATTATAAAATTAAGAACTAAATTTATTAAATAAGAAAAAAATAAAAAATAATATATTTAATAATTGAAATTTTAATTTAATTTTTTCTTTTAAAAAATTATTCTTGTATTTTATTTTGATTTTTATTAATTGAAATTTTAAGAACATAATATCACATTCAATATTATAATATACAATGTTTTTTTTTCCTTTTTTAAGTTCGTATTTTGCAGGTCAAATACAAAACTGATTAAAACGGGTCAAACTGAATTAGATGGCCATCCCAGTTTTCTTCAAGACTTTCTATCAAAACTTGATTAAAAATTTATGAAAACTATAATTATGTTTTAATTTTGTTTTTTATAAAAATTTTATTCGTTTTTCTTTATGTAAAAGTTAAAATAATTATTCTAAATCCTTTTAAAATGACTAATATTGATTTTAGTCCATATAAAATATTTTTATTTCGTTTTAATTCTCAATACATATTTTATGATACATAAACAAATTTATTTTACGAATCTTAACTTTTTTAAAAGGTTTAAATATTACATTATAATGTAGAAACTAATAAATGTCACTTTAAATTATAAAATTGACCTTTGGATCATCTGATAAATATTAAAGAGTATCACCACATATTACTAAGAATAAAAATAGTTATTTTAAATTCAGAGATATCAAAATCGAAACTTTCTCATTTTATAGGGATTAATAATAAATTTTAATTTTTATATGTATAGTTTAGCGTGATACTAGTAATTAAACTATCTGTTTCAATCTTATAAATTAATTACATTTAAAAGGAATATTATCAGTTAAAATTTTGTACATTTAAGGTTTTTATACATAAATTAATAAATATTTAATTTATATAAATTTAGACTAAATTATTCTCATTTATTATTTCACAATTTTTACTCCATTTATACTTCTATGTACAATTTTCTGTACTGTTTTTAAGACGAAATAAAATCAATGCTCCACAACTTATTACAAGAGTGCAATTGAAAAAAAAAAATACACAATTGCTTATTGAAATTCTAAACCGACGAAAAATAGAAAAAAAATACAAAGTTATATAGGGAATATTAACAAAATATATAAAATGAGAAATTCATTAAATTTCATAAGTTTTTTATAAATTTAAATAGATAATCCTTTATTTGATTCCATATAAATAAAAACATTACTTAGTTTCCCATAGGTTAATTAAATTAATTTTATTTATTTATTTCATAAAAAAATGCATTTTCTTAAGTACATTTGTTTATATTTATTAGAAATAATGATACTCGCATTTAAAATAATTTAATATGAATGAATTAGTTAAAAAATTTCACATTTCAATCCAATAAACATTTTTTTTTATATTCCTAAGCTCAAGGAGTGTATTACTAACATTTTCTATAATAAAATATTTCAAAGTACTAATTTTATTATTTATATTGTTTGAATATACATGATGGCATTGAGATAGTAAGATCTGATTTAAATATTTTATTTTATACCATAAAATAATTTCTCACATTTACAATTTAGAGATATAGGATAAAATCTGTATACTTTTTCCAATCCTGTTGTAATAAAAATTAATGTTGAAATCAATATTCATTAAACTAAATTGATTAGTGAATAGACGAAGGTATAAATTTACGATTTAGAAATTTTAATTGAATTGGATTGAGTTGGGTTTAATAAAATAATCTTTTTAATAATATATTAGATCCAAATTAAATTTATCAGTAAGTATAAGTAAAAAAAATAATAATAATAACTAGAGTCAATGTTATATATGTAAAATAAGAGGAAGAGTAAAAGATAAAGGTAGTAAGAGGGAGATAAAAATTAGATGAAAGAACTTATTTTTTTTATGATTTTGTTGATAATTCAATTGTGTTAAGTTTTACGGAAAAGTTGAATAATCATCAACTAATAACTTAATATTTTATATTAAAAATTGATATAATTTGTTATTATATGGTTGACTTGGTCCATTTTTTTTCAATCCCTCTCAAATCCAACATATCAAAGTGTATTGTAATAACCTGAATCCTTGATTGAGACACCAGAGTAATTATTTTGCTTACATTCATCATTAAATAGTGTTATTTTATACATATTGTTTCCCACAACGTTTTTTTACAACTTAATCGGTCTATGTATATATTTTACGTCACTAAGTTTTCTCTCTTCCTTTTCTATCTCTCTCCAATATTATAAGAAGTATAGTGAAAAGATTCTGTGAGAATATTGATTAGTCTTTCTCATTGAATAGCTGTAAATGGTGAATGGTGTGAAAAGATGGTGTAAGAATATGATTAGTCTTTCTCAATTAATGGCTAGCTATAAATGGTGAGTAAGTAGTTAGTTGAAGCTTGTGTGAGAATCAATCAAATGGCAGTGTCGTAATTAATCCCTTCCATGCATCAGAAACCCAAAGTAAAGTGCAGCTATGGAAATTGGAACCGCACCTTTGATCCTTTCCGATCGTCAAAAGGAATGTTTTTGGGATTGCAGTAAACACTGTACCACATAAAAGAATAAGAAAATAAAATAAAAATAGGCTGAAAAGGAAGAGACATGTATGGTCAGGTAGCCATAAAGAATTTGGAACTGCATGTCTTGCACACATGAATGATGAAGGGTATCTGTCTGTCTATCTATCTATCTATCAATTTTATCAAATCTCATTTCATAATTCATATATGAAAGAAACAAACACAGAAACAGAAACCCAGATGATGATGAAGAATGATTCACAAGTCACAACACAGCTCCTGAGTGCCCATTACGGCACAGCCTGTGAGATTTCCTTGACATGTTCTCTGAAGAAAGCGACAAGTTTGAGATAAGTCCAAGCACCCCATGTGGGTTCCTCCTCCCTTTTCATCAACTTTGTTTGTCTCCTCAATCACTTTGCTCTTTAGTTTACCCCCTCTTCAATATTCCTCCTCCTCTTCTCACTCTCACTTATAACCCACTTTCCTTGAAAAAACAATCTTCCCTTGTAAGTCTGGTTTTCAGCATGTGGGAATCAGAGAGTGAGTCTGCTGCAGGAAGGGAATATGGGACTGGACTTCTCACTTCAACCAAGCACAGTGTCAAGACTGAGGGATTTCAGCAAAGAGGCAACTCATGGTATGTTCAATGCAGTGTAGTTCTAATTGTTTTCATTACATGGCTGAAAATAAAGATTAAAAGTTCTGATAGAATTGCTTTTTGAAAACTGTTAAGAGTTTTGGTATTCCATGTCATGTTTAAATGCAGGTATGTTTCAGCTGATATTCCAAGTGATCTTCTAGTTCAAATAGGAGAAGCAAACTTCCATTTGCACAAGGTAACTATTATCTTGTTTTTAGAATAAATAAACAAATAGAAAGTTTTTTATATTTCCTATGAAAACTGTGACATTTTTTTTTTATAAAGAGGTGAGATGCTACTGACTTGTAGTGTGGTGAATTTGATAAACTGTTTCCTGTGCTTTGCTGTGAAAGTATCCTTTGCTATCTCGAAGTGGAAAGCTGAACAGAATCATATATGATTCTCGCGACCCTGACTTGAATAAGATAGTTATGGACGATCTCCCTGGAGGGGCTGAAGCTTTTGAACTTGCAGCTAAGTTTTGCTATGGAATTGCAATTGATTTAACAGCAGGCAACATCTCTGGCCTGAGATGCACTGCTGAGTACCTTGAAATGACAGAGGACTTAGAAGAAGGCAATCTTATATTCAAGACAGAAGCCTTTCTTAGCTATGTGGTTTTGTCTTCATGGAGAGACTCTATAATAGTGTTAAAAAGCTGTGAGAAGCTGTCGCCATGGGCAGAGAATCTACAAATTGTGAGAAGATGCAGTGAGTCCATAGCATGGAAAGCCTGTGCCAATCCAAAGGGAATAAGGTGGTCCTACACTGGAAAAAGGGCACCAAAAGTTGCGAGCCCAAATTGGAATGACATGAAGGACTCAAGCCCTAGTAGGAATCAGCAGGTTCCCCCTGATTGGTGGTTTGAGGATGTTTCAATCCTTAGGATTGATCATTTTGTTAGAGTCATCACTGCTATCAAGGTAAAGGGCATGAGGTATGAGTTGATTGGTGCTGGAATAATGCATTATGCAACTAAGTGGCTACCTGGTTTGATGAATGACACAGCAATCCCAGGAGATGAAGGAACCAACAGTAGTTCTAGTAGTGGCGGTGGTTGTAGCTGGAACGGTGGACTTCAAATGATTGTGGCTGGACCTAGAGATTACACTTCAACTCTTCAAGCTAAAGATCAAAGGATGATCATTGAGAGCCTCATCAGCATCATTCCCCCACAGAAGGACAGTGTCTCATGCAGCTTCCTGCTCAGGCTTCTGAGAATGGCAAACATGTTAAAGGTTGCACCTGCATTAATTACTGAATTGGAGAAAAGGGTGGGAATGCAATTTGAGCAAGCTACACTGGCTGATCTGCTAATCCCATGTTATAACAAAAATGATACTGTTTATGATGTAGATCTTGTTCAGAGGCTGCTAGAGCATTTTCTTATTCAGGAGCAGACTGAAAGCTCAAGCCCAAGCAGACCACCCTTTCCTGAGAAGCAAGCTAGCAGTAACATTAATGCCAAGACAAGAGTGGCAAGACTTGTGGACAGTTATCTTACTGAGGTTTCCAGAGATAGAAACCTTTCCCTCACAAAGTTCCAGGTACTTGCAGAAGCTTTGCCTGAGTCAGCTAGGACCTCTGACGATGGACTCTACAGAGCAATTGATTCCTATCTGAAGGTAATCAATTCCTTCTCCCAGAGGAAAATAGAACTAGTTTTCAATTTTTCTTAATAACTTATCTGTAATTTTGAGCTACATCGGATGCACGAAAACTGCAAGGTAAATTTGAATTAGAAGTTAAGAGTGTCATACAATAGGTTAGCTATATGAATATACATTGGTTTAAAAAAATGCATCTAGAAAATTAGCAGCACAAGTAAAAATGTTGAGTAGTTTGGATTGACATGTGCCACTTGATGTCTACTCATGCATTTCCTATACCCTTGAACCAAATTAACAGGCACATCCAACACTAACTGAGCATGAAAGAAAGCGGCTCTGCCGTGTAATGGATTGTCAGAAACTCTCCATTGATGCTTGTATGCACGCTGCCCAAAATGAAAGGCTTCCATTGAGGGTAGTGGTGCAAGTTCTATTCTCTGAACAGGTGAAGATAAGCAATGCATTATCCAACAGTTCTTTGAAAGAAGGTGTTGAGTCTCATTACCAGCCAATGATTCCAAACCGGAAAACACTCCTAGAAGGGACACCACAATCATTCCAAGAAGGGTGGGCAGCAGCTAAGAAAGACATCAACACACTCAAATTTGAACTTGAGACTGTGAAAACCAAGTACTTGGAGCTACAAAATGACATGGAAAATCTGCAGAAACAGTTTGATAAGTTGCTGAAGCAGAGGCACACCTCAGCATGGACCAGTGGGTGGAAGAAACTAAGCAAACTTACAAAAATGACCAACGTGGAAAATCATGATATTTCACCTCAGCTTCCAACTTCAGAAGAACAGAACAGAAAGACAACAACTAGAAGGTGGAGAAACTCAATATCCTGAGAGATAAGAAACTCAACTGCATTTCATTGGAACTAATACCTCTCATGAACCAATTTGTGTTACAGACTTTATTCCCTTTTTTTTTGCCATATTTCATTCCTTTCTTTCATTTTGACAGCAAGAATTTGTCGCTTATCTTTGTTTAATTCTTTGTTCTTCCTTCTATAGAAATCTCTATGAAATTCAAACTACATTGTAATTTGTCACCAGATCTAATCATAGTTTTCCTCTGCAAGTCCTAGAGGCAATCCTTAACTTTTCCACCTTATGCATTAAATTTCCTACTAGAATTTAAGAAAAACCACATCAAAACAACCGTCAACTTGCATTAGACCAATGCAAATATTTAGGACTTATTGAGACCCTAATATCACAAGTTTACAAAGTTTTTCTCTTTTTCTACTATGAAGCCCTGACTTATCTAAACGGTAACAGTCAAATCCACAAAAAATATGAAAGTGTTCCACTTTGTTAAATATGATATACACAGTAAATATATAAAACCGTTGATTTAATATGTTCACAATTGTTTAAATTTTTGAAATATTTTGTGTATGGCAAACTTTTGAGGTACTGGTTTATGACGCGCCTTGGAAAGTTAAAATGTTGCTATTATGCAGAAACAAAGATGGGCCAATTTCTTTACTCAGTTGGACCAACAACTTTTTCCTATATCCAGCTTTTATTAATTTATTTACCAGGGTATCATAAATGCATTTATGCAAGACTTGAAATATTATGCCTAAAGACCATTCCAACAAACCATTGTCTCTTTTAGATTTAAACTTCAATCATGCTCCTAAAAGTATGAGGATGACCTCATACCACATGATTTTGCCCAAAGTGTGCATCAGGACAATCATTCCTTGGTCCTGTTTCAGGTCAAGAAGGGAATTTTTCTTGGTAAGCAATGTAGAAAAGAGGATGATGAAAGATTAAAACAAGGTAGAAATATATGGGAGGAGGATGTTAATGTTATTGTTATGAAATAGAGGAACATAATAATCAACATTTGGCCACTGAGTTGCTAATATTTTAAACTGGTGTAACTTTCTGTTCTCCATTTATGTGACATCATAGTTTGTAGTTGGTGCCACTTTGGATCAACAATTATAACATTGATAATTAATTTCGCTCACAGTTGTTTTTCGAATGGAATTTATGTTTAAAATTTGTTGTTTTTTTATTCTAAAAAACTAGTCATGAAATTTATTGTATTTATCAGTTATCTAAAATTTCTTCAATTCAAAATCTGAAATTATTTTCTTAACACAAAACCAAACACATCAAACATTAACTACATTAAAAAAAAAACTCTCGCGTTACATAAGTGGTTTCCACACATCACATATATGCATCTTTGGTTTATAGTTACAAAACTATTTTTATAAATTCTAATATAAATTTACGTGTTATAACATATGAATTGAGATAAAAAAATATTTATTAATTTTGAAGTGAAATTATTTTTGAGTTCTCCAACTTTTTCCTTCTAAATGTTTTTTGTTATAATTTAATATGACTTGGGTTTTGTATTAATAAAAGATTAATATGATAATAAACATTTGAAAGGATGTAAGTTTAAAAAAAGGCAAAGTTGTAAAGAATGGAAAAATATATATATATATATATATATATAAACTAAAAATAATAAATTTATTTAATTTAATGTAATATAATCATTAATAATACATTAAAGCTATAAATGAATTAAAATGTAATGCACTTAGTTTCGTCAAATTTTTATAATTATACTTATAATAAAATATTTTTTTACTAAAAATGAAAATTGTCATAATTTTTACATTATTTTAATTATTTTCATAAAATAATTACGATTAACAATCATTTAACAAAATTTATTTAAATCCTAAAAAAATCATGGATAGTTATCTTTTTATTTCATTTTTATTTCTCTTTAATCATTCGATCTCACATTGGAGACGATTTGTATAATGTGAATCATGGATATGAAAGTTCAAAAGGATTTTTTTTTCATTTATTCAATTATGTCAAACTAAAACTAATTATTGATTCAGTTGATTTCAAATGAATTTTCTATAAAGATTAATGTTTTCTTTGTATGAGAGGAAAAGAAAGGAGAGAAGATGAAAAAGAAGTGAGTAATGTGAAAAGTAATATGTTTAGATTGAAAGATTAGGAATGATTTATGATAAAATACATTTGTGAGTTTTATTGGATGAGTTTCCTCGTTAGTTGGATAAGGACAATGGACAAATGACGTTGCAAATGAGAAGAAATTCTAATTGCTTTTATGTTCCCAAAATTGACTATGTTATATATATTGATAAATGGTACTACTCATATATATATATATATATATATATATATATATATATATATATATATATATATATATATATATTCTTTTTTCTTTAATTTGTTTGACTAGAATTAGATCCAATTCCTTGTATAATTGATTACTAGTAATGGATAGGGTCTATTTAGATATTACTTTGATCATTAATTTAAATAAGGGTAAGAGTTATGTTAGAGGGGAATGATTTTAATTTTTTAAATAAAAAAAATCAAATATAATATAAAATATATTTTTTATCCTTAGTAAATAGAAAATATGTTATATTAGTTCTTAGATTATGTTTATTTCATTTATGAATGTTTTGATGGAGCTTGGTAAATAAAATATGCTATGTTTTTTTTTTTTCATATTGTACCATTGAAATGAAATATATGAAAAATTTGGCTAGTAGATCCTAAATTCTTACATGCCTTCAATTATTTTTTTACCCATAAATTTGTCTTGAGAGTTTGGTTTACATAAGATAAACACAAATCATCTTTCTCACGTAATTATAAAGGTAACATTCTTAGTGGTCTATACAAGAGAGGTAATGGTTAGATACCTATTTCATCATTGATGGTAAGAAGTGTGAGTGGAAGATAATACGATTCCAAAAACAATGTTATATTTTTATCTTAAGCAATATATGTAATTTGAGTAGACACTTTTGATGTTATTGTAATTTGAATATACATTATTTATATTATTCTATATGGTTGATTATTAAATTAGGATATTTTGATGCATTTTTGGGTTGGTAAAGAAATGTAACTTTATTTCATAAAGTTGACAATTAAGACCAAGTTGGATTCATAAAAAACTTAATAAACAAGTTGATCTCCAACATCTTTACATTTATCTTAATAAAGAAGTTGGTCCCCATGAATATAAGTTGTTTTTAACATAACATATAAAAGTTACACGACTTGTCTTCATCACAATATTAATGTATTTGTTTAATATCAAACATGAAAACATGGTCCCCCTCAAAATACTTTAAAAAGTGACATATAACAGTAGGACAAGTTATTTGATGTCTTAAAATAACAAAATCCTAATCTAAGCCTTTTGTAACATCTTTATTGTTGTTTTTTACTAGTCCTCCATGATTGCTTCCATAAGATCGTCCTTGATTGCTTTGACTAGGTCCTCCTTCATTGGTTCCACCATCTCATTTTTTTTTCTTCTTCTTTTAGTAGACTCGTTTATTAGTTTCTTTGCATATAATTAACAAATGATTGAGTAGGTTATTTTATATCAAAGTATTGTCTTTTTCTTTATTGTTTAGCTTTAAGAGGGTATTTGCATGGGTATCATCTTTTCTTCTTGAATGACTCATTTTGTGATAACACAACAATCCTAATAGATAATGTGACGACAACACTAGAAACTAATGTAACAATCTCAAATTGTATTTCATTGTTATCCATTACTTCACCTTAAATTTCTAGTTGTTGAACAAATATTTTCTTACAAGTTCTTACATTATGTACTTACTCTTAATATGTGTGACACTTATTCAATGTATTTGTTTTTCTCCAATATGTTGCACTATCTTCATTGGGTTCTTTGTATGCAACTTATTTTTCCTTCTTGTACCAACTTTTTATATTTGTAATAATAATTCTACATCATCAAATAATAGACCATATTTTTTATCCACTAATAAGATAAATTTGTTTACCATAACACTTTGAATAAACTTCTTTATTGTAATAAGAGCTAACATAGTCCTAAACGTATGTCTCTTATACATAATGACATCACAACATATGTACAGGAGATTTCAACAATATCCTAAAAATTAAAAAATACATATTCTGGCATTAATATAGTTATAGGAAATAATTTATCACTTGCATGTCTATCCATAATAATTAAACTTTATCCTTCATATATAGTGAATCACATAAAGGATATGAATATTGTTAGTTTGACTAGTTGGATCTTGCGAGTATTATGAATTTTCACTATCCTCAATTTAACGCAACAACTCTAAAATAGATAATATTGTTTGGTAGCATTAGCCTTTATCATTAGCAATACAATTTTCTGAAGCTCTCCATCTACGTCTTGTAATTCCAATTAAAATTTCTTCCTCACTTCACCAATCATTTTTGCCAAAATACTTTTTTTCATTTGATCCGAATTTGTCCAATAGAACTTTTGCTATTCATTTTGTTGTTGCATTTTGATTGTTAAATACCATTGATATGTTTATTCTAAGGTATAAGTCTTCAAAGAAAAAGATGCATGTTATAGATGTCTTATGCATTTTTTATACCCTTGAATCAAATTAAGTAGCACATCCAACACTAATAGAGAATGAAAGACAGTAACTATACCATGAAATTGGTAAAATCTCTCCATTGATGCTTGTATGCATGCTACCCAAAATGAAAGGCTTCCATGGAGGGTAAATGGTGCACAACCATTTAGTATAAAATACTCTAGAATGACATTTTAAATTTTTTTAATCAAACTCCATCCCAAATAACAATTTAAAATTTTTAAACAAATCCTCTAGTTTATATAACTTTGTTCCACCCTTTGATCCAAATGTTTCCTCATCCTCTACATCAAATTTAAAATTTAGTTTATTACCATCATAGTTTGTTTCTATCTCAAACAAAGATCATCAAAATTAGTTGTAATGTTTGGACTATCACAAAACCTC